CACATTTGGGCCACCGGAACGACCCACTATAATTATAGCTGAAAATTTAAAACTTTTTATCAGAACATGTAAACTTATAAAATCAGTTTTCACTATTTAAAAATAAAACAGATTTCCAAACTCGTATATAAATCAAAATACAATTACATGCCCCCTAATCACATGTACCATACTCTGCAACAACGCCAGACGAACTCCCTTACTGAAGTCGATAGATGCACTGGTACAATTCTTTTAACCTGAAAAGGTGAGTAATAGAGTGAGCTTTGGAAAGCTCAGTAATAAAGAACTACCAGATGATGCTGATGAACGTGCAGGTACAGATAAATATATATTTCCTTATTGTTTCTGAACATTTACAGATTTTTATGCTGAGCAGAGATCCTACTGATATTTCAGGTGGTAACGGACAATGAGCTTTCAGTTCAGAGAAATATTTCGAATGACTGAGTTCAGGAGATCATAATAGGTTATCTAGTGTGTTCTCATAAAACCAGTAAAAAGATACTGATCTTTTAAAACATATAAATATATATATATATACCCCCATCCAACAAGTCCAAATTGTGTAGGTTCCCAAGAACCATACACCCACCATCAAGTCCAGTAGGCCCTGAGCACACAGCCGAGGAACCGGTAAATAAGGCCCTGAGCACACAGCCGAGGAGCCTCCAGGTATACTTCCTCCAACATTACCCCCCAAGTAAATATGTTCGTCCGTAAACGGATATATCAAAAATCAAAACATAAATCAGGTCAAGTATCATATCAAACTCCAGGTCAAGTATCAGATCAGAATCCAAGTCAAGTATCATATCAGAATCTATGTCAGATATCATATCAGAATCCATGTCAAGTATCAGATCAGAATTCAAATCGAAAATTAGATAAAATATTCATGTGAGTAGGGAACACACCAGAATTTACAGATAGTATTCAAAGATATTGGATAATCTTAACAAGTATAGGAATACGGATCTTCAGTATACCGATAGAATATCAGAATTCATAATCACTATTGAAAGAGTACAATGACTGACAGAATCATCAATTATTCAGAATGTGACTTGAGCTGATAAGGAAGAAATAAAGGTTCAGGACATTTATATTCTATGTCGATTGATCGGATTATCAGACAACTCTTAGATGAATAGTTCTCATAACTAATGCCTGTCGATTGGTCAATTCATTGTTCTTCCAGGATATTTACTCTTTAATACCACAATTCTTGTCCATAGACCATTTTCGGAATCATCGTTGAATAAATCTTCCAATGTCTTTATTTCATTTCCACACTTCCACAATATCATGAAATGCTATCGTACTTGATTAATTTGTTCATAACCCATTGTAATTGTACACTAAGTAAACTCATCATAGTTTCCAGACTTATCCAAATCACTTACTAAATCCTCAGTCATTGAGGTTACCTATTTTATTTAGCAATCATCTCCATTCCAGTTACTTCAGGATTTTCTAGAGTAATTCAAACGTTCCTGAATTTCAGATACATGTTGTACTTCCATTCCATTCAATTTGGTCTTCATGGTTGATTTGTCGAACAAACGTCCAATTCTTAGTACTGAATACGATCTAGAGCTGAGCTGAATACTTCCAAAATTTATCATCGAGCCAAACTTGAGAAGACGAACACATGTTCCAGTAATATCTATGCAATTCAGGAATTGACATAGCTTTAGGATTAATCTACTCACTTAAATTGTTTTCCATTACCTTTAAAGGTAGTCCAATACCTATGCTTACTTGGATTCTTTAATTAATCCAAGACATTTACTTAGTATAGGCCATAAGGTTATTTTGTAAATTTTGGTATTCAGTTTTATTCCATTCATTTCAGAGCTCGAGGATATCCAATTATTTCTGAGCTTGATGATATTCTTGGGTCATTTCCATTACAGGGGTATTTTGGTCATTTTACAGATCTACGGTATTTCAATCTTTTCTTTCCATCCGGTCTTATTATTTAATTCAATCTTATCATTTACTTTAGTCCTTTCGAACAATTCTGACAGCAGAATACCCCCGATAAATTATTCTTCAAGTATTTACTCATTATTCGGATATTTTCGGGTCAAGTGTCTTATCAGATTTTACAAACGGAATATCATGAATTTTCTGTACAAAGACAGGATCTTAACAATTAAATTCTTACTTAATCGAGTTAAGTACAAATCCTCAAAGTACTTTCTCATTCAAGGTCAATTCAGACTATTTTATCTCTCAAGGGCATTTTCGTAATTTCTTAACCAGATAATTTCGATACTAGCTCTTAATGAAAATAATATAATATAGAGATCCTATGATTAATTGCTTCCTCGAACATTCTTTGATCTTGAAATGATTCCTTAAAAGACTTCTAGTATCTAGCATAAACCTTCTTGGGGTTAAAAACCGGTTATCCATAATTTCAAAGTAAAACTAACATTTCTTATGCACATCAATAGTTTTAGCAGATCAATAATTCTTTTCAGATTTATTAATCCACTTCCAGAGACAATTCTTATCATTTTCCAACATAAGGGTAATTTAGTAATTTTACCTAATCGAAATATTTTCATAATTTATCATCTAAGTACCTTTAATGAGATAAATTATAATATACAATCCATGGTTGATTATTTTATCACTTAATTCCAGAACTTGTAATTTAATTCCAACTGTCTTCTAATTTCTTATAATAGTCATCTGAGCCATATTCAGTTATCTACTTTCTACCGTATTCGTATCTAGTGTAGATCTTCATTAATTACACATATGAGACCAAACATTTCCATTCACGCATTTACCAATACCAACATGTTCTATAAAGCATAAAGAGGTAGTAAAGTATTATCTCGATTTTCGTGTAATATTGATCGACCATAAAAATTCCATCAACACGCCTTTGATCTTCAATTCAACTTTCAATAATTCCTCAGATACATATCAACATAAATTATATCAGAAACGGAGCTTAATTGCGATAAACGGATCGAATCGGGTGATAAATCAGTGAAAGACAGCTTACCGGGTTCGAATTTGGTGAAACGGACTTCGGATTCAGATTCAGGACGTCGAAAGCATAAAATATGACTTTTTGAAAATTTGGAATTTTCGGTCAAATTCAAAGTCAACGGGTTTGACCGGTAATTTCGAGGTCTTCGGGTTCGAATTTTGAAAAACGGACAGCGGAATCAGATTTGGAATGTCGAAAAATGTCAGGATAGGTATATTCGGTCAAAGTCAAAGGTCATTTAATTCCCGGTCAAAGCCAGTCAAAGTTTTGGTCAACGGTGGTCAACGCCGGTCAACGGGTCAACGGTCAACGGGTCAACATGTCGGGTCAACGTGTAAACGGGTCGGGTTATGACCGGTCAACTATGCACCAAAATCGGTCAAACCGATCACTTTTGTCTTCCCCACGCGTAGTGGCGGCGCGTGGGGATGCGTGAACAGTGCCCTGATATCGAAAAATTTCTAAAAATTATTTTAAGCGATTTCCAGATACTTACAAAGCTCGGTTCAAATTTTTTAACGACGGAGAGCTCGATTTCAACGAATCGGAAACTTTGACCGCTTCACCTCCTCACGCGCCGCCGTCGACGGAGACCAAGGATGACACCAGCGAACTCGGAACGATGCAACGAACACGATGGTGTGGGAGGTGTCGTAAACGGATGACCCGATCGTCGTGAATCGATGAAAAACCAACTAAAACCGAGTTATTACTGACTATACTTCCGACTGAAATTAACGACGAACGGCGATGATTCACGATAAAAGGTTTGAGGGTTTTGTTCCTCGCTCGACAACGAACACGATGGTGGTTTCGGCTCGTCGATCGGAGGTCGGACGGCGAGTAGATCGGAGTTAAAAGAGGGGTTGATGAAGAGGAAAATCTGGAAAAATTTCAGAAAACATACGGGGAGAGATTTATAATTATCTCCAAAATAAAAATGACTAAATCATAGGTTTAGCCACTGAATTTCGTACACTTCTTAAAAAGATCTACCAACTTTAAAATCTTATAATTTAATCCCCGATTTCTTCCAAAAATACCAATTAAATTTATCAATTTATATTTTCTTAAATTTAGCATCTAAATTAGAGTGTTACAGATAATATAAATAATTAAAATATTTTCTAAATTTTAATTATCAAAATTTATTAAACTAAAACAAATGTTACAACCGACAAATATGATAGTTTATCCTTTTTAATTTTCAAAATAACCGCTGTACCATATGTTACATTCTTTAAAGAGCAAACACAAAAGGAATAAGATCATTTTAAACGAATGTGTACAAATATTGAAAATTTAAGATTTGTTTGGTTTGAGTGGTCTCCTAGCGTATCTTTCATTGAATACTAGAAGTAAAGATACACATTTTTTGTCCTTTCGGTAAGTCTTCATCTTGATTAATACGGATTGATCCGGGTTGTATACCTAGTTTTTGTGTGCAAATTTTCTAACAATGATTTTTTGCATACACAGAAACTCAAACTCAAGATATACTTAAACGATATCAAATTATTTATCACTTTAACAAATCGATAAGTGAAAAACATTTTAGATATTATGATTTCTCAACCTTTTATATAAAGTGGTATCATTGACTTTCTAAAACTTTGATTGTCCCAACTATGAACTTATTTATATCAGATTTCAAAATTTCAAATCTCCCATAAATGACCCGAACCAATTTGTTGAAGCTGTCTCCCAAAGTGGACACTATTACCTAGTTAGAGGGATTTATCCATTAAAATTCAATTTAATTTCAGTTCGAATTAAGATATAAATTTGATCGATCAACATGAATTAATTACATTGTAGAAAGTAAAATATATGGATTTATAATTAAGGTATAAGCGTGGCATTCCGTAAGAGTGGCATTCCGTGTAATTTCAACAAAAAAGTTAAGCCCGTTATCGAAAACTGAAACATATATTTATATACACATCATATAACAGAGACTTGATTGATTTCATTACGTTGTGGGTAGTTTTCCGTAAAGAAAATTCCAATTCGGTGGCTCTCTATCGAGTGTTTTCTCCTCCCGCAGTTTAAGTTTCTATAACTAGTAAAGCTTGGGGAAAATCAGCTTTGTTTTATTTTTGGGGTCAAGCATGGAAGATCGCAAGGAGCCGGAGGTGAGTCCTTTTCTTCTTTTCTCTCGTTTTCTTTTCTGGGTTTTTAGCTCTGTAGCGGAAGCATCATTTTTCTTTGCAAACAAACAAAGCTCATGAGATGTTAACCTTTTAGAGCTCGGTCATAGGTGTAAAATCATTCGGGGTTTCGCTTTGTCCTTTCAGCCTTCGAGTTTGGAAACCCAAACATGGAATTTTTCTGTTTTTTTTCCCCTTAATATTTTTCTGATTTTCTATGAATTTTTTTTATAGAAAAATGGAGGATGGGTATCGGTGCCACAATTTGGGGAGTGGGAACAGAAAGGGCAGGTGCCGGATTACTCATTGGACTTCTCAAAGATAAGGGAAATGAGGAAGCAAAACAAGAGGGAAGTTTCAAGATCCAGTCTTGGAAATGAAGATGAATTCATTAACCCAACCGTTTCAACTGCTCCTACCACTGATCATCATAACCATCACTCCCCAACTGTAAGCATTCCCTTCCACTAATTACCCCTTTATGATCAACTCCAAATGTTGCTTTTTCCTGGTTCTAGTAGGTAGCTGTAAATATTTTTTGTGTGGGGGGGGGGGGGACAGTGCCCTAAGAAAAATGAATATAAAGCTATGGACTTTGGCGGCATATGCATGTGCTTGGGGTGGTGGGGGGACGTTTGCTTAGTTGGATCATATCTTTTCCTTTCATCCTTAGCATATGGGTTGGTCCTTTGATTAAAAAAAACAAATGAAAAATTGGAATAATTTGATTTCATTTGGATTAAAGGTGTGATTTTGTTGTCAGACTAAGAGGGGAATCTTCAGCTGCTTCAACTGCTGCATCAAGGCCTGAACCTGATGAATCGAAAGAACAATCTCTCTTTTTTATTTGTATTTGATCCAAATATATGTTTATTAAATTTGGTGATTAATGTATGCAACTCAGGTCATTTGTTCTGCTGCTGATAATTTGGAATTAGATATCCAATGGATAAGTTAAGGGAGGTGGTTCAACTCCTAGTCTTGAATCGAAAAAAAAAATCTTTAATCGGGCAAAAATAAGTTAATTAAATGTCACAATGGAAATGGTATGGATAAAATGAAATTAGGTTATTACACATTATTTTCCAACCCAAATTAGCTATTGCATCTGCAAAGATCATCACAGTTCAAGACCACGCTGGGATTTCATACTTGATGTTCTTTAGGGATCCTAAAGCAAATTTGTCAGGCAAGAGTCTCCTTGCAGAAAATTGTGTACAGCAGATCAAATGTGTTTGATTCTCCATCGACAGAGCCAATGACTATTGTACTACAAATGCAATTATAATTAGTATTAAAAGTTCATACAAATATATTATCTTAAAGATAAATTATAAAACATGTAGATGCTAAAATACCGGTTAGTATTGTACAAGAGAGGATATAAGAGATGGGAAGGATAGAGGAAGTGAGGCTCACCAAATTACAACCAAGCATACCATAGGCTATAATGGAGGAAATCTATGTCTATCTTGGAATAGATATCTGAGTGTGGCCTTTTGCTTCTTGTTTCCTCGTCTCTTTCTTCCTACTGGATAACAGCATAGCACCACTTCATCATTCATCATTCTTTTGGGGTAGTGGGGCTTAGCCAGATTGGCTGACTGCCATTAATACCCCCCCCCCAACACACACCCCATCCCTACATGCACTTTTTCCCGTTATTACTTTTCTCTATTTATACCCCCCCTTTGCATGGGAAGAAAAGAAAACAAGAGGAAAAAAGGAAGGGAAGCTTGAGAAGACATGGAAGTGGGTGTTCATGAGGTTGAAGATGACGTGTTTTTTGCAGACTTAAACAAGCAAATCTCTTCGCTAATCATGGATGATGATGATGATGACCCAGTTTCTCTTTCCCTTCAGTTTCTTTCCAGGTTATTAAGCATATATTTTCCATAACACGCATTTTTTCCTAGTATCATGACTTATCATATATATTGGGATTTTATTTTCAGACGTTCTGTGGAGCAAATTATCAAACAGGTCAACCCCCACATCTTGAAAGCAAAGGCACGGGAGTCTTTATCCCGAGATCATTGCAGACAACAAGGAAGCATGGGCAAAGAAGGTCAACTTCATTCAACACCAAATCCAACAGGCAAAAGCTTAATAATGGTAAAAAAAATGGCTTCTCGACAATCTTTCAACGATCCTTTTTACCCGAGGAAAGGCTAAGGATAGTAGGATGCACATCTTCAAGTGTTTTTTACTTGCCAAAAAGTAATTTCCAAATGTATGTATGTGCAAGTAATTGATTCTGATTCTGGCAAAGGGTCAGCCTCCCTATTCCCTAAATCATGGAAATGTATAGAAACTATGGGAAAACTATGTATTTGTGCATTTCGATTACATGTATCGATTGATGAAATGAGTTTTTAAAATATTATTAGTTTAGTTGATGTTATTATTGTGGTAACTTTCAGTAAATCATGAATTATAAGTACAAAGAGAACTCATAGTAAATCTCAGGTTGGATTAGGTCATAGATTTTTCACCCTTAATCTAAGTTCGATTTAATTTCACCCTTTACAAAATCCGATTTAATTTCACCCTTTACAAAATCCGAATTGAATTCAAATTTTAAGAGAAAAATATAATCTTATAAGATCAAATTAACCCATTAAACTGACCATCTCTAATTGTGATAACTTAAAATATGTGAATCTCAATATGTTAGCCGAAGATCAACGAGGATTCCAATTGAACAGTCAGACATCTATTTCATTAATTTGGTGAAACAAATTTCATTTGTTTAGAAGAAAAATCAGTGTACAAACTATAAAGTAAATTCAAATCTCATAATTAATTTAAGCAAGGTGGTTGTATTGCTCCTCCTTGCATTTATTTTAATTATCTAGGAAGCAGCAATGTGCTGCTACATCAAAACCGAGTGGCTAAGCATATTCATCAATGTGAGGACTTCTATTTACACCGTCAGGATCCAAGCATACCAGGTTCGTCGGCTAGTGTTGAATCTCTTCCTTGATTATATCAAAGACTTGCAACCGGAGGGCTTCCAGGAGGTCTTTCTGTCCAAACGTGATCGTGTTCGGCATAAGCTTCGAGATGATTACGGTAGGGAGAAGCGATCTGCCCTTGAGCTTTTGAACTGTCCAGCTAAGAACATTATTCCATATGAGGTCTCTCTGATAGTTGGCATTGCTGCATAATCTGAATCCTTATGATCCTGTAAAAACTGCAATCACAAAGTAGGTGATCTCGAGATTCCTGATCGCATGGCAAAGAATACAATGGACGCATTCCTGATTTCTACCTCATTTATTGCTTATCAATGCACAATATAGTTTCATTCTTTTTACCTCTTATAAAGGTCATTACAATCAAGTAGACCACCAAATAATGGCATAAACGGATTTATTTAATGCAACCCTGAGCTCAGCAATCGAACCATGATCAGCTAGTAGGAATAAAAAGGAAAGTGAAATTCGATACTCAGTATGCATGCTCTTAGCAAGATCTTCCAACTTACCCGTGAGTCCGTGACTAACTCCTCAAATTCTCTCTCGAGTAGCAAATCCATCTAGTAATTGCAGCATCTTTGCATTCATGCTACTCCAACAGCATCCAAATGGTTTTGGCTAAAAGGTAAGGAAAACGAAATAGCCTTGATAGCACAAGGAAAAGACTGAGAAATTTTACCAGTTTTATCTCCAAACATCAAAACTCTGAATAGCAAAAGGATGTTAAACTCACGCCGTCTGCTTACTTACATTCCTTTAAGCTCTGTATGTTGCATGACAACAAAAGGAAAACGAAATAGCCTTTATAGCACAAGGAAAAGATTGAGAAATTTTATCAGCTTTATCTCCAAACATCAAAACTCTGAATAGCAAAAGGATGTTAAACTCAAGCCGTCTGCTTACTTACATTCCTTTAAGCTCTGTATGTTGCATGACAACAAACTTGTAAGAATTATTTGTCAAGTACACAGTTGCCACCACATTATCTAAATTCTGTATCGGGAGTTTGCAATATGAAGCACATATCCAGCAGCCTCAATGTGTGTAATATATTGCCACTGCATCTCATCTCAATAATTTACCGGAATGGCAATGTCAGGCACATATCCAGCACTTTTACTATGCATGATCAAATTGTCCAAAACTAAATATATTAAATTGGACTCATTATGAGTTCTATCCCTTGCAATAAAAACATTTGTTACGTTATTAACTTCGATCCAACTACACCCAGGTTCTTTAAGTCCATCTTCTCCCTCACCTTCTTAACATCTGCCCACATGCCTTTAGTGCAAAAATATTTGAAAGTAGAGTATATGAACCGCTATCCATTGGATCAATTGAAATTGCCATTTCTGCTGCATATTTCCTTAATTCAACATTACCAGAAATCCTACATGAACTAAGTAAGGTCCTCCATAACACTGCAGCAGGTTTTATTGGCAATGACTCAATCAAGGCCTTAGCTTCATATAATTTACCAGCGTGGCCCAAAAGAGAGACCACACAAGCATAATGTTCTATCCCAGGTTCAACTCCCAAATGTAGGCATTGACCCAAAGTAATGAAGTCCAAGCTCTACAAACCCTGCATGCACACACGCTGAAAGCATACCAACAAATGTCACATAATTGGGTTTCATTCCTTCTTTCAGCATTCTTTCAAATATCTGAAGGGCACCTTCAGCTTCTCCGTGATGAGCGTATGTTGAGATCATGAAATTCCAACACACAAGATCCCTCCAAGCAGTGGTATTAAATGTTTTACGAGCATCTTCCAAGCTTCCACATTTAGCATACATATCAATGATGGCATTTGTAACAAAAGGATCAGAGTCCAGACCATGTTTTATCAGCTGATTGTTAGGTTACTTGAAGCAGTCATTAAGGCGGCAAAAGTGAATTCGTTTGGTTTTTGTCTTGATAACTGTAATTGTGAGAAGAGTTTCAGGGCCTCTTCATTTTCCAACTGTTGTGTATAACCAAAAAACAAAGCATTCCAAACAACAATGTCTTTCTTGTTCATCTCCTCAAATAGAAGCCTTGCATCTTTAACATATGAACACTTTGCATGAACATCTATTAAAGAACTTCCAACAAATAAGTCCAGTGATACCCCAAATTTGATTATAAGTGCATGAATCTGCCAGCTGATTTCTATGGTACATAATGCAGCTGATACACCAAGAAGGCTAACAAAAGTCAAAAGGCTTGGAGGGAGTGACCTGAGTCGCATGTTGAGGAAAAGGTCCAATGCTTCAGAAAGTTTCTCAACACTTGAGTATCCTTCAATCATTGCATTATATGAGACCACATTCTGATCACCCATAATATCAAAAGCTCTTCTTGCATCAATCAGGGAGCAACATTTTGCATACATATCAATCAAACTGTTTGTCACAAACTCATCAGATTCAATGTTGGCCTTGATGGTGTAAGCATGCACTTGTCTCTCCAGATCCAGAGCTTCAAGCGAACCACACGATGTGAGTACACTAGTGCAAGCAAAGCCATCCGGCTTGCAACCCAATCTGGTCATCTCAGAGAAATGATTCATAACTTCCCTGTCAAATGAATTCTACATGTAACAAGCAATCATTGTAGTCCAAGAAATAACATTTCTAACCATCATCTCATCAAAAAGCCTGCGTGCAGATTTTACCTTACCACATTTACAATAAAAATCTATTAGCACATTAATGACGGAAACATCCATTTCCTCTCCCCTCCTCAAAACCTGACAATGAACCTGCTTTCCTCCTTGAACAAAGTCAAGCACTGAACATGCACTCAAAACACTAGACTTCACATATCGATCCGGCATCAAATCAGTTTCTCTCCTTTGTCTAAACAACCGCAATGCCACCACAGCCTTCCCACTCTTCACATACCCCGTTATCATTGTTGTCCAAGTCACCGTATTTTTCCCTTTTAAACCATCAAATACCAACCTTGCTTCATCTATACACCCACTCTTCATGTAAAAAATCAACCAAACAAGTCCCACATAAACATCTTGATAACAAAATCATGAATATGAACTCCAAGTTGACCGCCATCCCCCATCTGCATACAAGCTCGAATAACGCTAGCCAAAATATACTCATTTGGACTCTTACAACAACTTCTCCGAAACTCCAGAAACCAAACCAACGCCTTTTCGATAAACTCATGTCGGGTATACATAGAAACCATTGTGGACCATGAAACCAAGTTTTTCTGAGGCATTTCATCGAACATCTTAGCCGCGTCACGTACATTATCACACTAGAGTAGAGATTCAATAGAATGTTTGTGAGAAAAGCATCATACTGCAAAGAAGACACAAAAATTTGTGCGTGGATTCTTTTATAGTGTGCAATGGGATTGGGTTGGGAAAGCTGTTTTTGAAGAAGGTTAGCGAAATGGCGCCTTTTGAGCTGGGAATCTGGAGGGAAAAAACATGGGTCTTGGAAGGAAGGAGATCTAAGGCTAATGTGGATGAATTGAAGGCTTGTTTATTTGTTGATTTTTGAATGTTCTTGAGCTGTAATTTTAACTGGTTGCAGCAATTGTTTCTCATTTTTCTGGGGAGAAAACGATTATGATATACTAATCTATCAGTTTTAACGGTCAAGTCCACGGAACGTAACCTCGTGCCAATCACGTGAGCTATAAAACTAGTACTGCATCCGTCATATTAAAACCATCTCTTATCGATTATTTTTCGTCAATTTTCTTTAACTAATAGTTTGAAGAGATATAATTAAGAAGATAAGAGTTTCTTATTATTAATTGTCTATTACAGTTAGTAAATTATTTTTTAGACTAATAGTGTAAAATCTTCGTTTGAGTACAGAATTAACAAATTTAGATGTTAATTCAAATGAAATTATTGTCTTGTTAGAATTTTGGTTTTTTTTTTATTAAAGATGATGATGCAAAGGACAAAGGTACACACATGGTAAGAATGAACAAGTATGTTTGAGAGTTATAATTCTACTTACGAGGTCAGATTATTTAGATGGATTGCATATTAGTTCATGCTGTGACATCCTCAAATTTAGGATTAAAATTAAAACACTTTAGACATTTCATGCTAATTAAAGAATTCTCAAGAGTAGGAGTGAGTATTCGATCAAGTCGAGTTTAGTTAAGTAAAAAAATAAGGCAGCAAGAATCTGCTCCTGAGGTCAGGGGCTGTCAGACAAGGCGA